TCACTGTGTCCACTCAATGGTTAAATATAATTGTGAAGAATTCTTGCCATATGACAACAATGGGTACTGATGTAATTAAAACTATTTGGTAGGGAAATAGGGTGAAAATATCCAAGACGAGAAAACAAAACTCTACAGGGCTGAAAATCCTAAGTGTAAAGCTCAAAAACCCAAAGAAGAAGAAAAAAAGTGCAACAGGACACATTTTAAAAATTCCAAACCATACAGGATGCCAGAATTTAACTTTGCCTAGGGTGCCAATATATTTAGAACTGGCCCTACACATATGGCTATTAAATTCACTTACGATTGCTGCTGGCAATTAAAGTTAGAATAGAATAACAGAGTTGGAAGGGACCTTGGAGGTAATAATAATAATAATAATAATAATAATAATAATAATAATAATAATAATAATAATAATAATAATAATAATAATAATAATAATAAAGTTGGAAGGGACCTTGGAGGTAATAATAATAATAATAATAATAATAATAATAATAATAATAATAATAATAATAATAATAATAATAATAATAATAATAATAATAATAATAATAATAATAATAAAGTTGGAAGGGACCTTGGAGGTCTTCTAGTCCAATCCCCTGCTCAGGAAGGAAACCCTATACCATTTCAGACAAATGGTTGTCCAATCTCTTCTTTAAAACTTCCAGTGCTGGAGCATTCACAACTTCTGGAGGCAAGTTGTTCCACTGATTAATTGTTCTAACTGTCAGGAAATTTCTTCTTAGTTCTAGGTTGCTTCTCTCCTTGATTAGTTTCCTTACATTGCTTCTTGTACTGCCCTCGGATGCTTTGGAGAATAGCCTAAGCCTAAGCCTAAGACTAAGACTAAGACTAACTCTAACTCTAACTCTAACTCTAACTCTAACCCTAACCCTAACCCTAACCCTAACCCTAACCCTGAGATATTGGAACATTGCTATCATGTCACCCCTAGTCTTTCTTTTCATTAAATTAGACATACTCAATTCCAGTGTCCATTCTTTATATATTTTAGCCTCCAGTCCTCTAGTAATTTTTTATTGCTCCTCTCTGAAAAGAAGAGCAACAAAAGATGAATGTGTGAGGTGGAATATGTGTGAGAGAGAGGGGGGAGGGAGGGAGGGGTAGGGAGAGAGATTCTCTACTCCTATGCAATATATATGCTCCTCAAAAATATGCTGTAGAATAACAGAATAACATAAAAAAAAGGAACAGAGAATGTACAGGTAAGAGGAGGAACTCATGAAAATTGGTTTATCTCTTGTTATTGTTCAATTCTATTTACTGAGGAACAATCCCACTGTTAAAAGCATACTTATTTATGTGAGAATAAATTCAAAGGATTGAATCTAATGATGCTTCTTCTAGAGTGTTGGGTCTTCTTTCAAAGAAGGATGTTTCTCTGAAGCTAATCCATAGGAAACCCATATTGTATTATTTACTTATGACATATGGTTACTTATGACAAAATAAAGACTGCATTGATTGAGTACTGTCATTTGATAGCCTAATCATTATCACATCTTCTCAGTCCTTTCTCTATATCTTTAGATGCAGTAACACATAAATGAGCAGCTGCTTTGCCTAACTGCACATATTTTATTGTTTAGGTTTACATCCACTTTACATAGTTGGCATCTGAATTTAGACAGGCTACATTTTCACTCAGATTTCATTTATAATTTCAACAACATTTTTTTCTGGGTGGTCACAATGAATCTGAAATATTATCAATGATTCATTTGTCTGCTAATGATTTTGACTGATTTTCTATTTCTGTATGGTGTGTTGCTACCTTGAATAAGTGTGCTGCAAATGATATTATCCATAAATGACATAACTTATTATTTAATATGTAGATATGGCATGAACACCACCTGTCCTTTCCCAGTTTTCTTACCAATCCTTAGTAAAACCTTACTCCTTCCACCACATAACTAAGGTTTAATTTAGCAATTTCTTGAGAGGCTTAGTTTAAAAGCTTTCTGAAAATCCAATTATACAATGCCTATAAAATGCCTGTAATGACATCTGTAACTGTTCATCAATAGTTGTACCTTGTTAATATTCCTAGGGAATTCTTTAAAAATGCAATAATATTCTGGATAAACCAAAGATGCCTAGGAAATCATTCAAACTATATTTTAATACATTGTACCTTTTGCTTATTAGAGAGACATAAAGTCACTGTTGTTATGGTTTCATACCATACCATGCCATACCGTACCATACCATTCCACACCACTATTTCAGCATTAGAAAGGAATGATGCCATCTCTTAGAAAATTGTATCAAATTAATTAAATGGAATTCTGATTCAGGGCCAAATCAAGATATACTGCTAACAGTGGCAGAAGACGCATTTACAGTCCTTTCTATCTATATGCAAAACTCAGTTTTCATTATCTTATTTCAGCATTGATACCTGAGGAAGTATGTTAGTTTAACAAATACAGCACAGGTTATGACCCTCACTGTTTCCCCCAAGGAAACGGAATGTGGAAAGGGAACAATTGCTAGGGAGCTACTTCTAGCTCTGCTACTTAAGATAGCTGCCTCACTTTGGATAATAGAAGGGCTGGCCTTGCAATTGCATAACTTATAGCAAAAGACAAATCAATTACTTACATCAAACAAGAAATAAACAAGGCATGAAAAGAATTTGAGTAAAGAACTAAAACTCTTAGGATTAAGCAGAGGGAACTAAAAGGTGAAGTGAGCAGTTTTTAGATTAATACAAATATTGTACTTCCACGTGCTCAACGCCTCTTTTTACAGTTTTCATTTTGTATGTATGTACGTGTGTCTCTGTGCATATGTTTGTTTGCGTAAATTTTTCTCTACATAATAAATATATATTTTGCTACATATTTATGTTTATAACCAAAACTTCCATGAACACATCCTTCCCTAGGTTAAGGCTTTTTATGTGTGAATTCCAAAGTCACAACTTCTTATCCACTGAGAGAAATCGCTAATCTATAAAAACAACAAAAACCAAGACATCATAAACACAAATATTTCAACATTATAATTCATGAAGAGTGATTGGCAAGATGCAGGCATGAAGCAAGAAGTTACCCCAGTTTGATTATAAGCCATCAACCATCAAATGGTAGATTAATTTGACATAAAGACTAGCAAACAAACGTACTAGCTTCACTGCTAGGAATAGGCTGTTCAAATAACAGAATTTAACTAGACATGATTAATAGAAGCTCTGGAGCATCTATAACACAAATCAATGGAATAAATCTGGTTCACATAAAGATTTCATACTGTATGTTGGATGCATTTGCATAACTTCATTGACCAGACTGCCTATTTCTTAATTTAAAATACTAGGCACATATAAAATGAAAATACAAGGAAGAAACTCTGATCTCTTTGTCTATGAAGATTCTCAGTCATCCAGGTAATGGCTATCCCAAAATGTAACTTTGTTTTTCTTGAAGACATTTTGCTTCTTATCCAGTGGTGGGATTCAGCTAGTTCGCACCATTTCGGCAGAACCGGTAGCTAATTTTTTGTTGCCCAGGCCCAGAATGGACTTCCAGAAGTGGCATCCACACAGAGAACCAGTTGTTCACATATTTGAATCCCACCACTGTTTTTATCCAAGAATTGACTGAAGAAGCTTTTTGGACGAGAAGCAAAACATCTTCAAGAAAAATAAAGTCCAGTTGCCTTTTGAAAAAGCATCTTTGGGATTCTGATATCCTTGTTTTACTGGAATACTCTGGCAGTAATTTACTCATCTCAGTACCTAAGTATGTTTTTAAATCTGTTATTCTGATTTACCTATTCCCAGGATTCAAGCAAGTTAAAAACTGCTACTATTACCAATCATTGTTCAGTTAATTAATGGAAGTTCAAAAGAGATATGAGGAATCAGATTAAAAACCTATGGTTTTATTAATCTGATTATGAGGTACCTGGATCTTAAAACCATATTGTGTCCGATTGTGTACATTTCTTCTAAACTTGACCTACATTTGACATTTTTAATAGCTTTAGTTTTGTATTCTGAACTACACCATACAGAAATAGGTGGGACCATGCTGCCTGTCCCCACCATCACTTGCTTTGCTCCTCCTCACTGTCCTGACTTTTAGAAGCTTTGGTGACCAGATTCAAAATCGTAAGGAAGGTATGCAAACTCCTGTCATCAGAAGTACAGTAAAACCTTGGTAAAGTAGACCTGCATTTCATAGATGAAGGATACAATGTACAATTTTTGTGTACAGAGTCCACCCATATTTAATGGACTATTACAGTATGTGCTAATAGATTAACATTTGCCCATGAAATCAAGGTTTAACTCAAACAACACAATTTGCATCAATTAAATCACCCACAAATAACATAAATTCAGATTTAACAGACAATTGGATTTAATGGACATCCTCTTTCTTTCTTCCCAAATGATCCATTAAATCAAATTTCAACAATATATGGATTGCAATATAGTCTCTGCAAAGACAGAAACTAATAAAAAAAAATGACAAGCCTTGGACCAGGGGGCAGACTCCACTTTCCCAGTTTCATTTGCCGTTACTAGCATTATGTAGAGAGATTTTGTCCTTAATTTCATTTAGAATTCTTGTGTGTTTTATGTGAATATCTATTTCTTGTTAATATAGTACCCAATATATAAAAATAAACTTTATTGCATTTCAGCACAACAAGATTGAAAGGGAGGAAATTGTTTCTAAAAACCTGTCAAATTTCTTCAATTTACTGTTAACAAATTTATAGAACTCATACTATTATAAAAAGATAAGGGGCACAGTCAATATGAAGCAGCACAAAAGCATTATATTGCAGGAACTTGATGCTAAATTGATGCTGACTTTTTCTCTGTATATAGATAACAGATTAGCAATTAAGAATAAGAAAGAAGGAAGAATTTGTGACTTTTGACAATTATTGTTGAAGAGGACAAAAAATAACAATTGCCAAAAAAATCACAAGGTGTGACATGTTACCTGGCTATGACAAAGAGCACACAACTGACACCCAAGTAAGCCAGCAGAATATACATCCAGATATCAGGGGAGAGAGGATTCAGGAAGGAGAAGACACCCGGGTTTGTACCATTGGGCTTGTGGTACAAAATACTTATTCCGAGAGTCATAAAGGGCTTGGAAAAGTCGATGACCGTCTCTCGAACATACGTAATTGCCAAGGGTGCAACTGCAAGGTCAGCTTTCTGTTTGCAAAGGAAAATGAGAGAGAGAGAGAAAAAGAGAGAGAGAGAGAGACAGAGAGACAGAGAGAATAGACGGTAAGTCAAAAGCAGTAGGAAGGAGTAGGCAAACAAATTAAACAAGACTTTACATTTGGAAATTTGTCTTGGTACTAAGTATGCTGAAATTTAAAACCCTGCTTTTGCTCTTCTCCTCTTCCTCCTCTGATAAAATGGTTAACATTCACTGTTACTCTTCCCTTAGGAGCTCCGAACATAAATGTTGACAAATGAAATTAACACTACAGAGAAAAATATTATACGTGAAGTTATTTCTAATGTTTCATACTATACATGAATTTTGATTATTTTGTTTTTTTAAAAATTATGTTGGAAAAACCACCTCAGAAATATAAGGTGTGATAAATTTGTATGCTGGTAGTTTTATTAAACTTAAGCTTTATTCAGTTGTGATTTTTCTGTCTCCCCTCTTAGATATGCCTGTATCAAGACCTTTTCTTTTTTGTACCTAACTAGCTAAAATCAACCTCAGGAAGCATGTCATGTCATCTGAGATGAAACATGTAGAATACTTTAACCTTCATGCAGTAATTGTTGAACATTTGGTTATTTTGGGGGAAAAAATGACTAATTCTTCTTCTTCTTTTATAGATTAGTTTTGGCAAGATGTTGGTTTTATTTATTGGATGATTACAATGTTTTGATTATTTTTTCTTTAGTATGCAGTAAATTGCTTTTATTTTATTCTTTCTAAGCCTATGTTCTCTGATATGGCAACTCACGTTGGTCCAAATCATAAGAATATTTTCAAAAATGCTTCTATCAGAAATCTGTATATATGGCAAAAGTTGTGAAGATAAATGGGAAAGCTCATGAAAATATCTTTTAAAAAAAGAAAGAAAGAATTCTGTGGTTATAGTCCCAAAACATGGGTTTTAGGAAAAATAAGTAACACTGTGATAAAAAAAACTAATATACTCAATGAACTACAAGCCAGACAGCTCAAGCTCTCTCATCTTGCACTGAAACAATATTCTAATATAAATATAAAAAATAGCACAACAGGACTTAGGAATTATGAAAATTATTAATTTTAGAGCTAATGGATTGCAGCCCATGGCCTGTGTCTTATATCCTGCCAAATTTGTAATAATGTCATGGATCTGTAAGACCAGATATGCTTTGGAACCCTTTTTTGGATATCCATGATGGTAGGCTATGTTTGACTTGAGTAACAAATTTATATAAAGTTGTCTGAAATAGAAAATATGTCAAACTTTATCCAAAATATGAAAGATTATCACAATATTTTAATGAAGTTCTGCCATTTTTACTTTAAAATATGTATGTTTATAATTTAAAATATGATACCATCCTGATCTATATGAATGTTTTTCAGGGCCATTCTCTACAAAATATAAGTGACAAAGATTTTCTCTGTATATCAGATAATATTTTTCACCCGACAGTTAATTACTTTGAATCACATTCCTTGCTGACATTTTGATTTAGACCTCTGTTACCACGCACAATACTTGGCAAGTTATAGTGTCTGCAGCGTCAAAATATATTTAAAAAATAGCTTGTGTTCTGACTTAATAAGCCCTCTTCCTTTAAGAACAATGATTAGTTGCATGTAACTCTACATAAATTGCCACTTCCTCTCCTTTTTAAAAAAAGGTAGTGAAATATACTGGAAATACAGGAAGGATGAACAATCTCTTATCTCTATGAAGCTCCCAATGCCTCATTTGTATTCTTTTGCAGTGATATCTTTCAGTTGCCCATCTCTGTTGTGGAGACTAGTTTCACACATCACTCTAAGCCATAGCTTTTAAATTAGGGAGTGTTGATCAAGTCATAGTTCACAAATGAGCTCCATATTGCACCAAAATTTAAGTATAACATTTATCTGCTCTTGCTTTCTACCAAGTTTAAAGGTAGGGCTTTTAAAGAATGTATGCAATATAGACCTTTCCAGGTTATATAATGTTCTTATCTACATTATCCCAAGTCAGTGTACACATATTAAAACCAAAATACCAGAAGTAGAATAAATGCAGAGTAATACATATCCTATTTTGACTTTAAGCAAGATTTGACAGCTTGGTAGGCATGGAATAGTTGGAAGAAAAGCCATTTTTTATTAAAACTACTTCTAAGGCAATTCTGTGATCTCTGTGCTCTATTATTGACCATACAAACTATGCATGGCTTCCAAGAAAAGAAGGAGCACCTGAGTGATATTTTACACACTATTTAAGGGTCCCCTAATATTCTAGAAGGGCATGTCCATATATGGGCGATGGTGGCAAACAACCCAAGAGAGCTGTAAAGTACCCATTCACCACACTTTCATTCTTAGATTTTTTGTTGATCATAAACTGCATGTTGTAAACTATTGCCTGAGAATAGTCTAGGATTTTCTTTTAAAAAATAAAACATAAAAAACAAAGCAGAAAAGAAAATAGTTGATGCAGTTAAAACAAGTAAATTACCAGCAGATCACGGCATGCATATATTAAAGCCCATCAGAATGTGTAATATTTAGTTGTTCAATATGCCTTGAATAAGACAAACAAGCATTACTCTGTAATGGCATATGATCTACTAATGTTTAATTGAACATCAGTGTATAGAATTAAAAGAAAACCAAATGAATGTCATCTATTCTAAATAGTTCAAATCCCCCCCCTCTCATTTTGCTATGCAATTCTGTGTACAGGAATAAATTGCAGCTATGGAGCTTTTATTTGTTTTGCATAAAGATATGTAAACTAATCATTTGGATGCAATTTGAAATCAGCACATAGAGACAAAAATAAGCCCATCTGCCTTCTAACTTGACTTTGACCCTGTGTTATGCTCAAAGCTAATGAGAAATATAAAAATCTAAACGGATGCCCATTTTACTAGTTTAAGGAAGTTAAGTTTACTTAAGCTAAAGGACCTAAGATAAATTTATTGCATTTATTCAGTAAATATGACAATAAAAAACATATGTATGAAATACTAACTAGAAAACAAGGTTTATATGTCCTTGGCAGAAAATATAGTAATATCTTAATCCATTTGCTTTAGTAATGAACACTAATCTAGAGTCAATTGACACTGTGACATTTCTTCACATATAGGGATAAATGAAAAAAAAATATTAGAGCAGGTTCCCTATACTCAACTCTATCAGTTGCTGAAAAAATGCAGATGAAATCATGGAATTTATTCTCCGTGGGTTTCTATTATTTTCATTCATTTGCAGCAGCGTTTTTCAGTAAGAGCTTCTTTGAATCTTAAATGCATGAGATAGTCCTCAAGTGATAATATCTAACCAAACCTCTTTTCCAATTACTTTTGATTTTTACAGACATCATAACTGCATACAATTATTTTCACCTGCCTATTCTTTGTTTAAAAATATTTAAACTTCAGCTTCATTGTTAGTTCTTACAGCAAGGACTGCTTTACATAATCTTTTACTGAATTATTTTTCCTGCAATAGAAGGTCTTCTGAACAATTTTTTCCAACATCATAATTCAAAGGCAACAGTTTTCTGATGGTCCAGCTTTCATTGCCATATGTTACAACTGGGTAAACCATCACCTTGACAATATGAACCTTTGTTGCCAGTATAATGTGACTTCCCTAGTCAAGATAATCCTGTGTTGAGAATTATCCAAAGGGAGTTCAGATCACTACGCAGCACTACATCTGTTAATCATGGTGTCTCATACTAGATTGAAAACCCAACATAGAGTTTCTATGTATTCTCACTAATAAGTAATGATAAAGCTAATTTATTTATTTATTCATATCCTGCCTTTATTATTTTCACAAATGACTCAAGGCAGTGAACATATCCAACACACCTCCCTTCTCCTTTTTCCCCCAAAATAACCCTGTGAGATGAGTTGGGCTGAGAGAGGGTGAGTGGCCTACGGTCAACCAATTGACTTCTATAGCTTAGACAGCTCTTGAACTCACAGTCTCTTGTTTTCTAGCCTGGTATCTTAACCACTAGACCAAACTGGCTCTCTAATAGCTTGTTCAGGAACAGAACCCAGTTTCCTTCTTTTATATCTCTTTGTGATTACAAAATATAAGTTTAGATTTTGCTTAGCCCACTTTCTTAACAAACTGAATCGCTGACATTGGCAACATTAGGATTTCCATACACATCTATAAACTCAGTGATATTTTCCATTATGACCATAATCTTTACACAGCAGTAGGTTCCACTACAATAGTTTCAAAACTGTTATAATAGCTAAAGATCTGGCTACACTAAGAAATTCTGTACAGAATAACCATATGATACTAATGCGTTTGTTCCCAGTGGCTACCATAAAGAAATCCATTGTTATATAGGAAAAAATTGTTCAAATATTTAAAACATGAAACATATTGTTTCAATTGCTATTTTGGAGAGTTATAAATACCGAATATTTTCTTATTGTTTTAAAGGCCCTAGGCTGTTCCATTGCAGACTGCAATTTTTCAAATTTATTTATTCATATTATTCTTTTAACCCTCTTTTATTATTTCTATGACTGATTCAAGGTGTCAGAGAGAAAGTAACTTGCCAAAGTCACACACTTCTTACAACTTATTAACTTGAGTGAAAACTAGTCTCTTATGAGCAACATATCCCCCACCTCCTGTTTATTTAAGTATAGATTAGTCTGATTTCATCTATCGGTAAGATGATTTGCTATTATATAGCCACAAAATATCATCAATCTTTAAAAGATTTTTTTTTCAGATTAATCTAATTTATAAAAATATAAACAATTTAAATGTGTTTCCAAATTACTTTCATTAATATAAAGTTATTAAAATTGTTTAAATATCCAGAATAATATCATGCAGTGTAACTGGTCTTTTAAGTCCAGAATCATCAATCGTATATTTGTGTTTTTAGTAATTCAGCAGAGGATTTTTTTCTTCGGTATTCAGTATTTTGCAGTATTCAATCGTATTAGAAATAAGTTAATGATGTATAAAA